CAAAACATTCCGGCCGCGCGCCTCCGCCCCGCCCGCGGCGCCCCTTCCCCCGTTACCCGCCGCGAGCTCACTCAGGTCTCCGCGGGCGCCCCCGGCCAGGTCCGGCCCGGGCCCTGACATACCAGTAACCGGTCTCGCGCTTCACCTCAGGAACCGTGACCCCGGTGATTCTGAGGATCCGACAGCTCCGTAGGACTCGACCCGACCCAGAGCGCTAGGCCCGGCGCCTGCCACTTACTGTCACCAGCAGCCAGCCTGGCCAATGAGCATGATGGGGCGGGGACACGACGGCCCATTTTTTCCCCGCTTCGGGGGCGGGACTTAAAGGCGGGTCTTGAGCGGGCAGAAGGCCAATGGGGCCTTGCGTGGGGCGGGGCTCAGGTGAGGGCGCTGCTGATTGTCCCGTTCGCGGCCCCGTAGTGACGAGATTGCTGTGGAGCTGCCGACATCCGGATTTGGAATTGCGGACATGCGTAACTCGCAGCAGTTTAGGATTTGCGGTGCAGCCTCGGAGGGCCGGGAGGAGTCCTCGCGGCTTAGTCACTGATGGAGCTCATCGCACGAGAAGCGAAGAGCTGTCGCTTTGGAAACCTCAGTGATTTTAACTCTGTTGGATTTGATTTTAAAGCCGGATGCTCTCCCATTTCACTCCTGTGTGGCCGGAGACTCGAGGTATGAGAAAGCGGGCTGGGGTCACGTATCAGCCCCAAAGCTGACTCCTGGAGCCTGCTTGCAGCGCGGTGGAGACCGAGTCTGGCGGGCAGGAGACGCGGCGGTCGGATCTCGCTTGGGGAGGGCTCTGCTTTTCTGCCCTCTTTTCTGCGCAGTCATGTCGCCGGCTCCAGCAGCAGCCCAGGCTCCTACGTCGGTCTCCCTGTTTGATCTCAGCGTGGACGCTCCAGTCCTTCGGGGCCTGAGCCTAGTGAGACACCGTCCCGGGGAGACTCTGGCCCAGGCACTGCGGTCTTCCTCTCCAGGTATCCGGGAAGATTTGGGGTGAACCCATGAGAAACATGACAGGGCGCTTTGCAGCTTATTCCTCCTCCAGAGAACACATTCCTATTGGCATTTCCCAGTTTAGGAGCCCTTGTTGACATCTGTTTCCACGGGATAAAATGTATCTTAAATTCACTGTCCAACACAGACCCCTGAATTATCTCCAAATAAGTCTCTTGCCATTGCTTATGTTCTTGTCTCAGTAATGCCACTACCTACAAAAACACTTCAAAAACTCCTAGATCTTTTTAAAAATTCCTATAGTACAAATTTAACTGGATTCCAATCATTCATTCATTCATGCTGAATGTAAAACAATGTCATATTTGGTTGTATACAACTTTAGTTTGTTTCTGGCTATGTTTTTCTTGAAACTTTTTTAAACAAACTGCACACTGTAATTGGAAATGTAAACTAAAAAATTGGCATTCAGGAAGTGGTTTTTGAACAGTTAAAAATAATTTTAACCATACCAACATATATTTTCTGCAAGATTCCTCTAAATCCCTTTGGTTAATTTAAATACAATGTTTGACTTATAATCATTTTACATGTATCTTTTCAGAAGCATCTTTATTGTAAAAAAGTGATTATTGTGCTATTTATTTCTTTTAATATATTTTTATTTATTTCAGAGAGGAAGGGAGAGTGAGAGAGAGAAAGAAACATCAATGATGAGAGAAAATCACTGATCGGCTGCCTCCTGCACACCCCACACTGGGGATTGAGTCCACATCCCAGGCATGTGCCCTGAAGGGGAATTGAACTGTGACCTCCTGGTTCATAGGTTGATGCTCAACCACTGAGCCACACCAGCTGGGCATGTGCTATTTATTTATTGATTAATAGACTATAAATTCCTTAAATGCCATCTCTTTCTTTAGTATCTTCATCTGCTATATATATCAAACCCCGAATAAAATTCCAGGTACTATCCATTTGGGCTCCCTTTCCACCTCTAATTACCCTCCCTTATTTAGGTTCAGGGGTGAGAACAAGCCCAGAAAGAAAACCATTCCAGGGTCCTCTGGATATTTCAGGGAAGTTATTTTGTTCAACCTGTGACCAGACCTTCCAGAACCATCAGGAACAGGTAAAACATCAGGTGCAGCACTAAATGGTGGAGGCAAAAGTAGAACAGTGGGTGAGGAGAGATAGACATTTGTGGTTAATGAATAAAGGTTCACGTTTTGAATAAGGCAGTTGGTGTTACCCAGTCATACTGCTGGAGTCCTGTTCCTGGTCTTGGGTACCATAAAAGGCCAGGCTGGGGCGTATTTCCACATTCTGCTTCCCTCATTGACTCCAGAGGGAACATTATAAGCTCGACTGGCATCGGTTTAACCTAAAGCAGCGTCTCAAGGACCAGCCTCTCCTGTCTGCCCTGGACTTTGAAAAGCAGAGCTCCACAGGTGATGTCTGGTGGGAGACCTTAGTGGGTGCAGGACATGGGGATGGAAGAGGGCCCTCATTTAGGAGCTTGAGGGAAGTTCAAAGATGAGGCATCAAACTTATATATCTCATGTTTCAGGAGATCTTTCCAGCATCTCAGGATCAGAAGACTCAGACTCAGCCCCTGAGGAGGACTTACAGATACTGGATGGAGAGAGGGTTGAGTTTGAGAAGTCCAACAGATCCCAAGGCTCCTGCTCTCATCGAGTTCTTTTCCAAAATGCCCAAGGCCAATTTCTTTATGCCTATCGCTGTGTCCTAGGCCCTCACCAGGCAAGTGACAGTACAGGTTGTGTGGTTAACCCCAACCTTTTGTACATTCAGCGTAGATTTCCACTTGGCTCAGTCCAATTCTCCTTTCTCCCCTTTGTTCCTATCGGGTTGGGTGTCAGGCTTGACAGCACAGTCTTGTTTTGAACTGGCCTGAATCTTGAGTCAAGTGTGCTGGAATTAAGTTTAGAAACAGACCCATCTAGGTTTGGATTATAGATCTACCACTTGATCTTGACTAACTCTACAAGCCTCACATTTCCTTGTCTATATAAAGTGGAGACATGCCTCAAGTGGTTGTATTAAATGATAATGCATGTGAAGCAGTTAGCACTGGCACTTGGTTCCTTACTCTCAATGAATGTAACCAGATATGTTTGTGCTGCTCCTCTATCATCTAGGTGCTCCCAGAAGAGTCAGAACTGCTGCTACGAAACCTGCAAAGTGGAGGTCCTAGACACTGCGTGGTACTCATGGCTGCAGCTGGGCACTTTGCTGGTGCCATTTTCCAAGGGTGAGAGGGTGCTGTGAGGGGTTAAGGATGGAATGGATCCTTCTCAACTGGGAGTACCAGGTTTCCAGTACTGAGTCTGTATTGTCTACAGAAGAGAAGTGGTGACACACAAAACCTTTCACCGCTACACAGTACGGGCCAAGCGTGGCACAGCCCAGGGACTTCATGATGCCCGGGGTGGGGCTTCTTGCTCTGCTGGAGCCAACCTGAGGCGCTACAATGAAGCTGCACTATATAAGGTAAGTTAGGCATCTCAGATCTCGTGGTCCACTAATATACCTTTCCCCCCCAACTTACTAAATGTTACAGTAAAGAGGTTGACTCCTTTATCTTCCAGTCTTCATTATTTTTGGTTAAGGTAGAATAGGATGGATCCTCAGTAATCTTAGTCTTGTCCTTCCTCCCTCTGTTAATTTCTACCTTTCACTCCCTACACATGGGGTCATTTTTTGGTTGGAGATGTAAACAAGTAAAGAGATACAGGGCTGTGACTTTCTTCTCTAGGATGTTCGTGACCTGCTGGCAGAGCCAGGCTGGGCTAAGGCGTTGGGGGAGGCTGGGACAATACTGCTGCGTGCCCCCCGCTCTGGCCGGTCCTTGTTCTTCGGAGGCCAAGGGGCACCCCTGCAACGGGGGGATCCCCGACTTTGGGATATCCCCCTCGCTACCCGCAGACCCACCTTCAAAGAACTACAGCGTGTGCTCCATAAGCTGACCACTTTGCATATCCATGGTGAGCCTTTGACCCTGATTCCAACTCCATAGACCTTCTGGTACCTTCTAAACCAAATCTCAGGTTCTCATTTGTTCATCCAGATGATTTTCTAGTCCTTGGACTCCAGCCCAATCCCATCTTCATTGAGAAAACCTGGCTGGGTCCTCCTCAGCTAAACTTGAGCAACATCTTTTGTTTTATGGCAGGAGAAGACCCCCGGGAGACAGTCAGGTCGGACTCACCTCACTCACACTGGAAGACAATGCGAGAGAAGAAGAAGGCTATTGAGGAAGAAAGAAAGGTCCCCAGTGATGAAAATGGGGCAGTAGGGCAGAATGAGGACTCTCCCAAACAAGGTTTGAGTACCACCTGTCAACTGTCAAATCTCTATCTGGGTGTCTGTCCTGGAAATGCAATAGCAAATCCCCTACTCTCGCTTTCCTATTTATAGATGAGCCTCATGCAACACACACAGGTCTTTTAATAATGAGATATGTGATAGCAATTACTGAGACATGATTAGTGACCTTTCCAGATCTCCTATTACTGCTTCTGTTCATTAATATAGCCCCAGTACTCAGAAAAGTCTTAGCATGAAGTAAATGTTTAAATGTGTTGCATGAATCTCAGAATTTACCAGTCTTACTGGATGCTTCCTGGGCTGCAGACTCTTGGCCTGCATAGCTGTCACTGCTCCTATGCTTTCCCCCGTGTGCACCATCTAAGGGTGCTCATGGGAGAGTCTAGGGCAGCCGTGGGCAAACTACGGCCCGCGGGCCAGATCCGGCCCATTTGAAATGAATAAAACTAAAAAAAAAACAAGACCGTACCCTTTTATGTAATGATGTTTACTTTGAATTTATATTAGTTCACACAAACACTCCATCCATGCTTTTGTTCCGGCCCTCCGGTCCAGTTTAAGAACCCATTGTGGCCCTCGAGTCAAAAAGTTTGCCCACCCCTGATCTAGGGACTGTA